CATATTATTTTTAAAAGTTTCCCACAATACAATAATCAATTTTATCAAATCAATTAACTGGATTCAAAACTTTGTAAAATTTGATAAAATTAATTTCATGAAGAATTATGAAAAAAGAAAATGCCGGGTGTTTAATATTTTAGTAACTGTGAACAATATCACAAAAATCAAATGATATACACTCTGTTGTATATATTACACTTACATTCTGATATACAGATGCCAAAAGTTAATTTTTTAATACCATTCGATTACAAAAACAATTAAAAGAAACATATGAATACAATAATAATAATAATAAATGTTGCGATACTTTTAACACTGATGAAGATTTAAAACAAATCATCTGATAGGAAACAAAGTTAAATTTCATGGAGTTGTTTGCAATATAGGGATGTCAAAACTACTATGTCCACTATAAACTTTAAAATAAATAAATAAATAAAGTTTAGCAACAAATAGCAATGATTAAGTAATCATTCCTGAAGAATTATCATTCCACATTTTAAAATTTTTGTGTAGTAATAAACAAAAAATAAAGCTAAATAAAGTGGAGAGAAAATGTGACATGTTTGATAAACTTTCTCAGAGTTATAATTGATAATGTTGTAGTAATAGTTTTTACTAACAATACTAAAATAAATTCACTTTCCAACTATAAATGCCACGCACAATCATTTTAGACAGACAGGCAGAAGCTTTAACGAGCAGCAACTGAAGATATTAAAAAGCATAGTCCATTTTATCTGAGCAATCACACTAAATGGTCTGATGTGGCAAGACAACCAATGACATTACTTTCACACTAAGCTTGTACTGAGGGGTGGATATCAATTCCACAAAAATTATATTCACAGAATAGAAACATAAAAGTTACCCATAAACAGGGTTTATAATAATCTATCTTACATGAATACCCAAACTCTTACTTTATTTAAGTTTTAAAAATTATTACATTTTTCATTCGAGAAAAAGTAACAGCAAAAATAAAGTGAAATATGGATGAAAAGTCAACTAATAAACGATTTTCTAGTTATACTTGAACTACTGACCTTCCAAAATAAATTATCCATCCTATAAAACTATACCTATTATTTTTATCTACCAATTCATTTGTTTAATTTTGCAATTTCCTTCTGAGCTCATAAAACTGTTTTCTATTTGATAACATATCAAATAACTATCTTATAACATATGAAAGAACCCAACAATATCTGTTTAAGCTAAAACAATGTCTTTCTTATGTGTAGACTACTTAGTTTTCTCATAATGACAATGTGAATTTTATTTCATGTTGAACAGCATGAGCTGAATTTTCATAAATTAAATTATAAAATATATACCACAAAAATTATATTATTTCTGTCAAGTCTTTTAACACCATATACAAGTTTGTTTTCAAATTGTTTTGAAGTTACAAGGCACAATATGAATTAAATTCTTGCATTTTAAACAGCACGAAGTAGACAATTTTATTAAATATGTTGAATGAATACATCATTTTGTTAAATATGGGTTAGATTTTATTGATCTAACTTAAAAGAATTACTTAATTTTCATGTAGCTGAAAAAATAACATCTTTTAAGACCTAGCACCATAGAACATATTAAAAATAATAATTGGTTATAATTAGAATCAGAAACAAACATTAAGAATATAAATGAAAACCTTTGGCATTACACTAAGTAAAGACAATTTTTCTTATAATTTATTTGATGAAATATACATAATAAAAGGTATTTTGAAAACATTTTCAACATCTTGTTAAAATTATTTTATTAACTTTTCCTGCTTATTTTTTAATTTTTCAAGCATATTTTGGAACTCCCATGTTGAGTTATTCATCTATCTTTCCATTTCTTTCTTATGACTGGTGAAACTAGGCACATTATTATACTTCAAAACATATTAACACAGATCAGTGATGGCAAATAGGTTTTTTACTGTTGTGTCAAAATAATATAAAAAATGTTACATAGTTTCAAGTGTGCCATATATTTATACATATACCTATATCTTATTTATATTTAGAGTTACGATGTTACATGCATACTTATAAGTACTGTATTTACTTATTTGTTTGATCTTTTTTGGATCATTTTTGATGAAAGCTCTTTAATGATTGGCCTTTACTTTGTTGACTGAAGAGTAACACAAGCTGCTGAATCTTCATTTGTTAGTCTGTTTCTAACATCTGATTTTATAAAATTCATAGTTGAAAAAAAGCTTTCACAAAAATAAGTTGATGAAAATATACTTAGAAGTTCCAGTGTATCAATTGTTAAACATAAATTTTTAAATATAAAAACAATTTTAATACAATAGGCCTACAAATTACATTAAATGTTTATTTTTCAAAATTCCTCTTAATTTGTTTGTTTTGTATTGAAACTCAGAGCCATGTAAAAATAATTTACAGTTCTATTGAACACTTGAAAATTATATAATCAGGCTATTGAGAATTATTTGATTAAAACCCTATAAGAGTTTTATTTGTGTCACTTGTATGATTGTGGGGGAATGACATAAATGGGAATTTTAAACATCCATGTGTTGGTACACAACAAAAGCTACTTCTTGTTTTATATCATCTGGATATACATAATGCCTTAAAATGCAAGGTAACAAAACCAACCAAGAATTTTTGTAAAAATTACTACAATTTGCGAAATAGTTCAGAAAAAATTTAATTCTATTTGAAAAGTTGAAGTTCTTGATGGGTAAATTACAAGAATTAACATTATATATTTAAATAGGAGGTATAATATATTTCATGTACATGATTCTGAATTCTTTAAATGATAAATTACAAAGTATAAGTTATACCTTCTAGTAGTTTACAAATACTCCAATACAAGTGGTTGTTTGACTAGGCTGTTACAGTTTAAAGGATATATACATGTTTGAGTTTCAATCATCTAAAATTAAAAAAGGAGAATTGTTAAATATAAAAACAATTTTAATAGGCCTAGAAAATTCGTTAAACGTCACATAAATTACATGTTTTATTTTCAAGATTCCTCTTAATTTGTCTGTTTTGTATTCAAACTCAGATTCATGTAAAAATAGCTTTTCAGATCTATCTATTGTCTCCCACAAGTCACTGCTCAAATCCTTTCATTGAATACCAGAACTCGACAGATGGGCTAGACAATGAGATAAAAGTTCCATATATATATATGTATATGTTGTATAATACTGTAAAAGTTATGGTTTAAATGCTAAAAGCTGTTACAAAACTTTTACTGTTATGAGTTTCAGTGTCTTATTTTCTTTTCTGATTGGAAACGTATCTAATATGACAGAGCTAACTTTGTTTTCCACCCTTCAGTTGCTAGATCCAATTCAGAGTTGTAAATTCCTCCAACAGAAATATGTTTGAATTACATTCTTGTTTATTGGGTATTTATCAAAGCTCTTCACAGTGGAGCCTTAAAGCTGACAGCTACACAGCTTAATATTTTTTATATTTCAGTATTCTTCCTTCATTTCTTGTAATTACTGTATTGCTTACTGAGATTTCAATAAGTTTCATGTTTCTTCGATTTCACTTTTCTTTTTTTTATTAGCCTTTTCAATTATTTTAACTACACACCAAATCAAATAATGCACGAGTAGTCTTTGTCTATCAGACGGAAATGGATAATTTACTTATAAAATATGTTTCAATTTTAAGGTTCTTTATACTCTGAGATAACTAAAGTAAAATTCATTGTTAATATACACAATTGTGTATAACTGTAGTAGCATTACAATAACTGCCAAACTTTGGAAATAATCAAACTGTTATCACATCTTCACAACGAAAGTTCTTTACTTACTTTTGTAGCTGTATGTAACTACAAGTTTACTTGATACTACCAAAGAAAATGCCTTAATGATATATAACAACAGTATATTATTCATATTCCATGATATTTCAAAGTAATTAAATAAGAAACTCACATATTTCAATGGTACTTGCTTTAATCCTAGGAAAATGAAGATACAAAG